TACATTGTGTTACTGGCAAATCTTCTAGCATTCTATCTGACATATTTTCTGGCATTCGATCTGGCATTCTATCTGGCATATCTTCTGGCATTCTACCTGGCATATCTTCTGGCAGATGTTCTGGCATATCTTCTGGCAGATGTTCTGGCATATCTTCTGACATATCTTCTGGCATATGTTCTGGCATATCTTCTGGCATTCCATCTGGCATTCTATCTGGCATATCTTCTGGCATATTATCTGGCAAATCTTCTGGCATTCCATCTGGCATTCTATCTAGCATATCTTCTGGCATATTATCTGGCAAATCTGCTGGCATTCTATCTGGCAAACATTCTGGCACTTTATCTGGCATATCTTCTGGCATTCTAGCTGACATTCTATCTGGCATTCTATCTGGCATACCTTCTGGCATTCTATCTGGCATATCTTCTAACATTCTATCTGGCATATCTTCTGGCACTCTATGTGGCATATCTTTTGGCGTGGATACTCGCGGTTGAGGTCCGGCAGGGAACACTGGGCGTGGATGGTCGTGGTTGAGGTCCGGCAGGGAACACTGGGCGGGGATACTCGCGGTTGAGGTCCGGCAGGGAACACTGGGCGTGGATGGTCGTGGTTGAGGTCCGGCAGGGAACACTGGGCGTGGATGGTCGTGGTTGAGGTCCGGCAGGGAACACTGGGCGTGGATGGTCGTGGTTGAGGTCCGACAGAGAACACTGTGCGTCGAGGGTCGCGGTTGAGCAGGAGGAGGAGGAGAGGAGAGGAGGAGAGGAGAGGAGAGGAGAGGAGGAGAGGAGGAGAGGAGGAGAGGAGGAGCAGGCAACTGACATAAAATCTAACAACCCTCACCTGGCAGGTGGGGAAAAAAACAAAAACAATGTTTGTATATCATGTTGAATTGTGTATGTTTTATTTCATTAGGTAACTCAGTTTACTCTACACCATCCATTTCGTAGATGTCGGCCTGCAGGTCTATTGACGTGTACGTTTACACCGTCTCGATCCGTGCACGGGTCATGTCGCTCTACAGTTGGCGCTACATCGAGCACTCCAAGCCCTAGAGTGGACAGCCCATCAAATTGTGGCAGTGGCAATGGGGAAATCTATGGTCAAGTTCTGGCAGATTTTTGGGGGATGAACATCAATAATGTCTAATTGGTGGCCTAAAGTCATCCCAAAAATGTGCTTGTCATCTCAACCAATTGTCTCAATTATGATTGAACAGCAACCACCAATGACATCTCTTGGATGGACACGTGTCCATGGAATGAAATTTCAAAACATGTATCAATGTGCATACATTTATAGAGAGATGGGGTGCATATTTCAAGTACAGTATGCGTATACAAGTTAGTTTCATTAGTAATGTTTAACTAATGTTTGTAAGTAAACAATGTATCTATGGATATGAGTGGGAATGGATATGCCTATATTAAAGCATAGAGCCATCTTACGCCAACAGTACCGGAGCATCCTCCGTTCCTAAAATTGATCAATTTCCCCATTGAAATGGTGGTTTCATGGGGAAACAATCTGGGGATTTAGTGAAGACATAACGAGAATTATGAGAAGATAATGAGCATATTGGAAGATTATGTTTTTTTTTTACTTGTATACCCTCTGGTACCCTGGTAGAGTAGTCAAATATGGCAAACAATCCTCCATTTACATATGAACTTCCCACTCAAAGCTCCAATTTGTCCGGGGATTTGAATAAACCAATATTCCATGAATATCCCATTAGTATTCACGATAAATGACAATTGAATTCCATTCATATCCATATTATCTCACCAAATGGTGGGAAACATATCCTATGGGATTGTATTACACGGTGACAATTTCATGTTCATTAAATCAAATATCATCCTCCTGTCAACGTGTCACCCAAGATTCTCATTTGCCACTGCTGGTTGTAGCCGTTGATCCCCGGGCCACACGGGGCCTGGGGCTTGAATTCTGGCCACGGTTCAAAAATAAGACGCCAGCCGATCCACTCATACCGCTGGCCCAAAGGGGCCTTCATGATTCGCATAGAGATGCATAGAGCAAGAGTCAAAAAGCGTCGTTCTTTTGTAACTCATAAAACTACGAAGCAAATAAAGCAGCAGAAACTATAAGGTGGACATCTTTTCGGAAACATATGACGGTGACCCCTAAAGTGGGGGGCTTCAAGTTGTCCTCCAACACTGGCATGTTTCTTTTGTTTCAGAAGGGGTAGAACCAATACTGGCCGTCTATATCCATTGGAACAATATGTATTTACGTATATATATATATATATATGGTACTATGCCATTGGTGTATCCAATCACCCATTCTATCTCCACGTGCTGTTCAAATCACTACCCATCACACCTTTTGTGATCCTTTAGTATCCAACACATACATAACAATACATAGATTCACAATATATACCCCTTGGAAATCAAACATGGCAGCGGAAAAAAAAAAACATGTTTTCTTTTTGTGCCGATTATGTATATAACATAACTCTCACTGAGTCATCTGTTAAACATATAAACATCATGCTCATGGACATAATCTAATTGGTGGTGTACCTACCCCCCTGAAAAATGATGGAGTTCGTCAGATTGGATCATCACCCCAACTATTGGGGAAGTCATAAAAGTCGTGTTCCAAACCACCAGTAATGGACATCGTGGACCCGCCGAAGACCATTGGCAAATTCACAGATCCCGTGTGGCAATGAAATAGCCTCTGGTTATGTCAAAATGGTTATGTCAAAATGGTGGATATAATGGGATTTAGTGGGATTTACTGGTAATTTCATGGGATTTACCCTTTGGTAAACTAACAGTTTGCTATTGAAAATGGCCATAGAAATAGTGGATTTTCCCGTTGAACATGGTGATTTTCCATAGTTTTTTGTATGTTTACCAGAGGGTAAATACTACTTGCTACCCACGAAACCTAAGGAGGTTATACCCCTGGTTCGAAGTGGGATACCGGGATAAGTAGGGCTATCATGAACTTACAACTGGGGTGAACTAACAGTAACTAACCTACTTACGATTCGTGGGGAGTTCACCACCAAGTAGTAATTCATACCAACTTGTGAGGTTTCATAGTTGGCTACCTCTACTTCCTTTGCAGGCTGTAAGACATCGATTGGAGAATCCACTGTTGATTCTACTAAAATCAATTGGTCTCAGTGATAGAGGAGATCATTTTCTCACTGTCTCGACAGAACCAAAACAGAAGGGTACAAGACTGAGAGGAAAGGTAGAAAACAATATAATTATAAGTCGGGCAATACTTCCACCAGGGATTTGAAACACCAAGTAGATAATCAGATAACATGCTGCTTGGGTGCAAATATATTTAATTACTTGATATCAGCTTGTCACCTTGGTCCATCGCCATGTGACGGCTTGAGCCGGCGCTTTTTCCAAAGGGACTGCACCCACCGGCGCGGCTGAAACATTGGGTCCTGACTGTCTTGCTATACCGGACATAGTTATTCCCTATAGATCCAAGTACCTTCTCAAGAAGTGCTTGGGTTATGATTTAGGGGGTTAGCCGTACCTTCTCAGACAGTGGGCATGGATCCATAGGGTGTATATATATATATATGTATATTATATATATATATATATGTATATATATATATACACATATTATAACTATGGAAATCACCATTAAGTCCCATTAAATCACCATTAAATCCCAACATATCAAGCAGGGATCTCTTTCATTGAAATCTGTCCAACTTGGGACAGATGTCTGCCTAGCTACATGTGCTGCGCGATGCTGCGTGCAGCACGAAGGATGACAATTGGCGGCGCAAAACACCGTCAGGGGCTTTCTTCCTTTGATGTGCGCGTACAGTTTTGATTTGCTTTGTTGGCGATATTTTGTGATATATCTGATATCAATGGCCATTTCAGGAACCGATTGATTGGAGGTACCTACATCCTACCAGGTCCTATCATATATTCCAGCCCAGAAATTTTCTGGCCTGGCTATGATCCAATACAGATGGATATACCGGCCTTGGAGATGGGCTTGGGAAGTGTCAATTGTTGACCCAACAAAGGGGATACGAAACGATGGGCCATGGGAAAAACGCGATTCCTGGTTAGTAAATGTTAGTAACTTGGGATTTGTTACCCCCTGTATCCCAATTATAATGTATAATCCATTTACTTACTAGTTAACTACTTAGAAGTATATCATGATAATTCATGATATACCCTGCAAAGTACCTTAGAAAGTGATGCGAAACATTGATGTTCCCTGGGGACATTTTTACAAACCCCTAACAATGTGAATAACTCCAGAATGTCAGGAGATTTTCCAGTCCCCAGTTCTTTCAATCAGGGTACCAGACCATCGTTGTCCTCGTGATGTAAACGTGACGTCGTTGTAATTGTCAAAGACATATCATCCAATGTTGGGTATATATGTCCATTAGATCCATATTATCCCAATGAGATCTCGTGAAACCATGAGTATCATCATGTCTCACCTACATCTGGGCCTTTTCGTGGGCAAACATTGGTAAATATACGATGCAATACCATGCAACTTTTTTTATTTGTATCATGGGATACTGCTACATGTCTGGATACTTTATGTGACAACTCACAAAACTTAAAAGTTCGGCCATTTTGGGATAGTTACTCCCTGTACCCTCCGGTAGTCAAACATGACAATGGAAAATCCCACCATCTCTAGATGATTTTGTCCCAGCTATAAGCCTCCATTTCTACTCCATAAATTTACCATATATTTCCATATCTTTCAATATATGTACCATATGTTTACCATATGTACCATAACTTGTCCATAATTCCATAGATTTTCCATATATTTGCCAACTATTACATTAGAGGTTCCATATAGATTTACGATTTTCCATAGATTTCCAGAGATTTACCAGAGATGTTCCATAGATTTCCAGAGATTTACCAGAGATTTACCGCATGTTTCCATCATTCCAATACCTCTCACGGCGCATCGCCGGTCATCGCTCACCCAGACCGAGGCGTCTCCATGGCGGGTCTCGTCAGCAAGGCTTCCGTCTCACGCGCCGTCGGCGCCCTCAAGGAAGTCATGGGGATATTCCATATAGACCAGGCATGTTCTATACATATCCAAGATATATATATATATATAATATCATATATATATAATATAACAAATATATATATATATTCATGATATATATATATATATCCATGTTATATATATACACTTATAAATCAAATATCACTGGATCATGTCAAATGCGTTTTTTGTTCGCTAAGTTCAGACATCACCTCATCAAAGTACTGGGGTGGCCTTGCGATGTGTTGGGAATTTCAGACATTGACCAGCAAAACACAGGCGATGTATACGGGGGTTTCTTAAAATGGTGGTACTCCAAACCATCCAAGTCATTACATCATTTTGATCTTGACACCTATAGTTTTGGGGTCCAGTTTAAGAAACCACCATATGGACGTATGATTGCTTTGTCATAGCTAAGTTGGGTAGGAACATGTTATAACTGCAATAAAGCTTGCGTTTTTAAGGTAGATCTATCTATAGCTTCATGGCAGCCCACCTCTATGTCTGGGCTCTTCGCCCAGTCATCAGATACCACAAGCTCGGTCCCTCCAGTGAAAACTTGGTCTATCACCCCAACGAACTACTTCGAGATACGAGTAACTACCATTTTCTAGCATAACCCCCAGTTCTGTGGAGTTATGTTCATCAATTTAGCTAGTCATCCAAATTGTTTTCTGGTGAATCCCGAAACTCAGTTGCGATTTTCTGATCACTTCCCAAGGTTCACTTTGCACCTGACCCCGCACCCAATCTGACAATCCCAGGTGCTTCTGGAAGCAGTTCCAGCAACTTCCCCTACGCTCCTCCTGTCCGGGATCCCCCAGGGCTGTCTCATGCAACACCAAACCCTGGCGCCGAGCCGAGCTGGGAATGGGACAAGATGAGGGTGACATGATGGGACTGTTGGTAACCGTCTAACCTCATAAATCGTGTAATCAGATAGATAGATATATATATATGGGGTTATATACATAATTATATATATATAAATAAATATATTTCACACATTATATTTATTGTTGGTTATATTGCTCAACCACAGAATCCCATTAAGTTATGTCAGCGTCAACCTGTCACGATTTCGATGGCTCATCCCACGAATCCTGAGTAGGTTATATCCTTGGTTCATCCAGTGGGGCAAGTAGGGCTTTCATCCACTCACACCTGGGGTGAGCAAACCTACTTACTAAGTGGGATGAACCACCAAGTACCAGTCATAAATTAGATGTTTCTATGGTCGTAAATGGGGTCATCGTTCCATAAATAGGGGGGACTTACTGACTTATAACTGCCATTTCAGGCCATAAATGTAGGATCTGTATGGTCGGCACCTGGGTGTTTTCACTATCAAACAATAGTGAACTCTATCCCATTAACCAACCGTGGGGGTAAAAACTTACATCACCCCAGACACAGGGGTATACCCAATGTTTAATCAATCTCTAATTGGGGATGGTTGGCGCTGGAGAGTTGACCATTAAAGAAATGGCTCCGGTAAGGCATAGTGGGGAATTGCAATATAGATGTACCTATTTAGCTATGTATAGATGAGATACCTATGAACATCTATTAACCATGGTGATTTCCGATATGATTTTCCATTTTTTCAATAACCCTAGGCTAGGAATCTTCGGCTTGCGAACTTGACATCCCCCAGCTCCACAGGCAGCTCCGCACCCTGCAATAGGCGATGGTATCCGTAATGGTAATGAAGTGGTGCAAAATACCTCAGGGACCCCGAACACCGAGATGTTTGCTTAAGTGCTTTCAATTGACCCTAAAGAATGCTCAAACATGGCTGAGATGGAAATTACTAGAACCAAACAAAAGAGAAGTAAAGGTGGTCAAATCATGTATGAATGGTTTGAACCAATCCAAAAAAATCATTCATTTGGTTGGCAAACTCGATTCTAAGTGGGATAAGTAGGGTTCTCATCCACTCAAAAAACTGGGGTGAACTTACCTTCTTACGATTCGTGGGAACCACCAATTGCTGATATTTCTGCAGCTGAGCAACTCATAGACATTAAGAGTGCGACCTCGCTGCGCTGCTGGGATATGGCTATGGATGGTGCCGGCAAAACTGGCAAAACCTTGGAAGCCTTGGTTTCACTGGCTATGAATGGCCTCTTAGATCGGGATTACCCTCTGGTAAACATACAAAAAACTATGGAACATCACCATTTTTAGTGGGTAAATCAACTATAAATGGCAATTTTCAATAGCAAACTGTTAGTTTACCAGAGGGTACATATAACTGTGTAACCAAGTAGACCGGAGTTTAGTGGGTTTAAAATGGGGTTTGAGAGAGATTTCATGAAGAACTCAACAATTTTAGCTAATATATACTGGAACAAATCAACTTGATATGGTGAGCGTCTCCGAAAATATGGTATTTACATGTATTTACCCTCAGTTTTGGCAATCTTCACAGCATTCAAGTCATGAGAACACATTAAATTTGTGTTTTCATCAAATTTAGTGTTTTGTGAGTTATGTGCCATGTCTTGTGTGTGTGTCTTTTTCAAATACTACACATTCATAAAGTAGCTCTTGGACTGTTTTTCTTCACCACAGAAATCCACAGTCGGGGCAGTTGCAACATCCCCAGCTTCGGCCGCCAAGGAACCACACCGGAGGCCACCGCGATACTCCTGGGATCTGAAATGTACCTCGCTCAGTCGGGGTCGGGAAAATCGTGGTTCACCACGGCAAGATATTCTGGCCGTATTTTTCCCTATCGTGTTTCTTTGGACTGCGTGTTGGGATGTGGGTAGGCGGGGCCAGTTGTCGTTCTAGGGAGTTGTTGCATGAAATCAAACAAAGGTAAGTTCAGGGATTGTTTTGAAGTACAAAATAAACAATTCAATCTGTTTTTCTGTTCAAACAAAAACTATTGCAAAATTGCATTGTTCCAAAATCCGGTTGGAGTTGAACCTTATGATACCATATCCTGGGAGGATGAACATCCATTTTGCCACCTATTTTGCTGTTCACCAGGGTATCGGTATGAGTTTTTGGACACATAGCCGTATCACTGACTATCAGTAGAATTAGCAACTAAGCTATCCTACGGCCTAAGGTAGTTTCTCTCCTGAACTATAATCCTTTTGGATTATATAGTTGTATCTGTGTTTATCCCTCAGTTGTAAGCTAAAACATGTTTCTTCATATGCTAGTCAATATGGTACTGTAATCCTATCCTAAACATGTAACTCTTCACCGCATCAACATGTCTCCAACATAAAGAAACAGTCATCCTAGCTAATCCTAATGTCTCCAACATCATCCTTGGATCCTAATGTCTCCAGTAATTTAACATAGCTATTGAAAATAAGTACCACATTTAGTTCGTTGATTTACCTATTCAAAATGGTGATTTCCCATAGCTTTTTGTATGTTTACCAGAGGGTTGGCTGTCTCCAACATCATCCCAAGGATGGTATCTGGATCAACACTGCAGAATTCACCTCGGACGTTACTTCGTCTTCGTGAACAGCCGTGTTGCTGAGGGCTGGCTCCATCTATATAGCGCGGCAAGGTATTCACAATCCTCAGAGGTTTTCTGAAAAGGTGCAGCTCCCTTTATTTGGAATGTCAAGGGGGTACTACCTTGGGGATTCATGGGGAATATCATGGGAACGTCAAGGTCTGGGAATGATTATTACTGTAGTTACTTGGTGGTTCCCACTTACTTAGTAAGTAGGTTATAACCCCAGTTGTCAGTGAAATAACGGTACTTATCCCACTTAGAACCAGGGATATAATATGATATAATCCACTTAGGATTCGTGGGATGAGACACCAAGTATATAAACTGAAAATAAACCAGCTCATATTGGGGGTCATATTGGTGGCACCACTGCACGTATGCAACCATCATTGACGTTAGCCTTCACTCTGGAACCCCACCGGATTGAGACGCGCACTTGCCACCGACCATGATGTTTTTTTGTTTCATCATATCCCAAAAGCAAAGACATGAGGCATTGGGGAGCTCCACAATGTGCTTGAAACCAACACTTTTTTATTGCGAAACCACCAGCCTCTATAGTGGCATCTCACAACCTCTGTGCAGTAAGAGTAGCATTGGGAGCAAACATCAGCAACAATAATATGATAATATATATAATATATATAATAATAATAGTAATAATAATAACAATAAATAATAATAATCTACATTGATAAATGATGACATCTTATACGTAATTCTATACCTTAACCCCTGTGGATGTAGTTGGAAATAGGGTACCCAAAAATTCCATGGTGAAAAAAACATTTTTCCGACTAAAGTTGACACCATTGGGGGGTAGACCCACAACACAAATTCTATGTTAGTATAGAAGTATAGCAACCTTCAAAAAGAAAAAAGCAGTAACATGCAAAATAAAACAGTAACTGATATGTGTGTAATCTCTTCTGCGGGTCCTAAGTTCCATGTCAAATTCATCATTGTCCCATCATATTCCCACTATACCATCATGTTTATTGATGAAGTCACAATTTTTCGTCGTGAAATCCAAACTTGGGGTGTTTAAATCCACATTTTTATCCACGTCAAAGGCCTTTTTTGATCCCCTTCAAATCTGCATATTTCCCCTATGTTCACCATAAAATCCCCATACATCATGATGAATTCATATCAATTCCCGTTCTTTTCGTCACCCAAAAAATGGCTAAGTTACCACCGTCCGAGGCACATGTAGACCAGCACACAAGTGCCTGCAGAGATGCCACCAACGCCCAGCACCACAAAGGCAGTGGCTAGACCTGGCAGTTTTTCTTCCAGGGAGAAAGTTGGAAAAACGGTCAGAAAAGATCAGCTGGTTGCTGGTTTCAATGGATTGGTTTGAGGGAAAATCTACAGGAAACCATGGTTTTTGCCATCAAATATAGGGCTTTCCTGTAAATTTTCCCATCATCCAATTCTATGATGGTTTTAACCATATTGAAAAAATATGAGTTCGTCAATGGGAAGGATGACAACCCATATATGATGGAACATAAAACATGTTTGAAACCACCAACCAGTCAGAGGTTTCATGAGGTTTCCAAAGATATGATGTTGGATAAAACATGATAAAACGTTGGTATGTTTGCTGCTGATTGCTGATGTAAATCATGGTTTCCAATTCTATAAGGGACATTTGACCAACAGTTGACTATATAAATACCGACGTAGCTATCACAAACTATCACAAATCGCAAGCATAAACCACCAATGTTCTTGGGTAAATCTCCATAAATCTAGAATAAGTCCCGATAAATGTGTTGTTCAGATCTTAGTTTTTGCTGGTGAAAGTCATATTTTGTCTTGGTGAAATCGCCCATTTTTCTTTGTCAAATTGTAACGACCTTACTGCGACCTCATTGGAAGCCACAAGTTTCAGAGTAGTGAATTATCACGATTTATCCAGATGTTTGTTGGTTAAGTGGCAGTGGGGTTTCTTAAAATGGGATCCCCGAAAAATGGGTTTCAACAGAAACATGGTCTAGTGACTTGCACGATTTGGGGTAGCACTCTAGGAAACACCCATACATCTGTGTAAATATATATATATATATATAGAGAGAGAGAGTAACTCCATAGAGTTGGAAACTCTATCATAGAGTTGGAAACTCTGTATATATATATATATATACAGATTATATACACATATAATATGCATATATAAATATTAGATGTCAATATTTCAGTGGGATTTTACTTTGTGTATCTTTTTGAAGGCTAGTATGTAGGGGAATGTGGTAAACCTACTAAACACATATTATAAACCGCCAGTTTTGGATTGTTTGTATAACCCATTTTTGGATATAGGGGAGGGCTCATTATGGGGTTCATCACACTATCAAGCATTCTTGCTGTTGTTTGCAAATGGGTCCGCATGAATGCATGATCAAGACATGGTTGAACGATTCACTGGTCGGTGATCCATCCTACTTCGTTGGTGAACGCACCGTTTTCTTTCCTTCAAAACTTTCATATTTATCTCTGAAACGTGCTTTTTCGTCATTTATTACCCTTCTGAATCTCCAGTTGGGGGCATGATATACAAATTATGGGTGTTTCATATTCATACTGTTTACATGGCCAGTCTTAGATACCCTGTGGTGAAAGACTTTCTTGGCTTGTTGGGGTAGTACATGGTAGTACTGTATACAGTATCGCCACTAATGGCAAAACAAACAAGCTAACAACAAATCTGGTTGGTGGTTTCAACCATCTTGAAAAATATTAGTCAATGGGAATGACTATCCAATATATTATGGAAAATAAACAATGTTTGAAACCACCAACCAGAAAATAACAATTCAGATCCAGAAATTGTTGCTGATGTCCCCATGAGATATCCCCATCATTGGCTAAATCTACGAAGATTCCCATATGTCCCTTGCATGTTTTGGGAAAGAGTGTATATTTATAGCAAGCCTTGTATATTTATGATCATATACATTTAATATGTCCCTATTAACAGCGTTATATAGCAACAATATGTCCCTATCATGTCCCTCTTTCTTAATAATATAGTGTATATATATATATATACTTGGTGGCTCATCCCACTTACTGAGTAGGTTATATCCCTGGCAAGTGGGATAAATAGGGTTCTCATCCACTTACAGCTGGGGTGAACTAACCTACTTACGATTCGTGGGTAGTTCACCACCAAGTAGCCAAATATATATATATATATATAGTTAGTATGTTTGTAAAACACCTTGGTAAATCAACAAACAAAATAGGCAAATGTCAATAGCAAACTGTGAGTTTACCAGAGGGTATTCAACTATAGTTGATATCCTATACTTATTTTTTAGTAGGGATTAATGGATGTTATATTTTATCATTACACAGCCATACCGTACAAATATAATGGTGTTACATAATTACATAGCCATGTCAAACAAACATATCATATATAACACATAGTATTATATCATAGTTATATTTATATAAATATCAACCCTGGATTAATAAACCCCTAGGCTGTTTAATTGGGAGGGTACCATTTAAGTATTGGATTATGACTATTGGAGGAGTACCTCCTAATTAATAAACCATGGTTTCTGAATCCGGGGTTGACATTACCATCCAGTGATCATCTATATGACCACCATCGTGCAAGTTGCATCCCCACCTTCGGTTGCTGCCCACTTGCCCTTCTCAGCGAAGACCAAGGACTCAGCGAAAGACACGTTACTAAAGCAGCAGGCGCCGTAATGGTAATTGTAAATTAATGGTGATTTATTGTGATTTAATGGTGATTTAATGGAATTTGTGGTGATTTATGTTGATTTAATGGGGATTTATGTTGATTTAATGGTGATTTACATGGATTTAATTTGATTTATTGGTGATTCAATAGTGAATTTTAAGCGTTTACGATGGTGTGGTGTTTTTTTTCTGTGATTTCGTGGTGATTTGACGGAGATTCCATGGGTTGATCGGGGGGGTTGATGAAGAAAATCATTGAACCTTTCATGGGCCATCTAACTCTGGTTTTTTGTTACATAGCTATTGAAAATGGCCATAGAAATAGTGGATTTACCCATAGTTATGTAAACGTTTACCAGAGCGTATAGCTACGCAAGGAATTACCGAAGGGTAGATTCCAAGTGGAGTGCTACCAGAGGGTATGTATGGTGATAATTTGCCATTTATAGAAGATTTACCTATTAATCTGGGTAAATGATAATAATTCACTAATCTGAAATCTTGGGCTATTTTGGGATGATTCCCCGCAATCTAACCTTTAGTCGAGTGAGGGAGGACAGGGTTCTGTCGTGATCAAATTTACCCAGATTGATTACATGCGTCAAGAATAGCAATAGTGATATTAATATAATATAAACCTATTAAATAGGTTTATTGCTATAAACCAATATTTTAATTGCATTAATATAATGTACTGTTGGTTTTTGCTATATCCAATTCATCTCCCATGAAAAACCACTCGCAATCCCGAATCATTGGATTGCGATCGTGGTGACGACGTGACTAATTCGTGCAAGTTATGGTAATACAATGCCATAAAAAGTTCGACAATGAATAACAGCAACGGTAGGCATTATAATATGTCATGTTGTTGTCGGTGATTTTTGATTCATCACGTGCAATCGTCTGAAAACCTTGATGCCAATAAACTCAGTATTTTGCTGTAGCTGATGGAAGGCCCTGACCACAAGAACAATCTGATTGATTGTGCTTTCTGAATGGTGGCTTTCCCATTGATAACATGGTGGGCATCGCTCTAAGAAAGCAAACATCGTAAACCGATGTGTTTGCATCAGCCTCACTTGTTTGTTTATTTTGTTTCTTCCTGGAACAAAGGACACTAATCATATAACCGCGCTTGCGATGTGTGGGCATGTCGCAGTATGCGATCTGACACTATCAAAGGTATCCATTCCAACTTCTTGGTTCACCCCTACAGTATTTCCCTAGTTAAAAGTAATTACGGTTAGTTACCCTCTGGTAGTTTAACATAGCTATTGAAAATGGCCATTTATAGTGGATTTACCCATTGGAAATGGTGATTTTCCATAGTTATGTTGGTTTACCACACCATCGCTTGACAAAATCAAGATCAAACCATCCAGTTGGTGGCGAACTAGCCACGAATCGGTGAAATATCCCTGGTTCAATACCAGTGGGATAAGCACAGCATGGCCCGAAATATCAGCTATAAGTACAAACAAAACCCGATTTATAGAATGTATAATCCCATTAAAATAACCAGTTGTAACTAACAAATGGCCATAACTGTAGGGTTTTCATCCACCAACTGGGGTGAACTAACCAACGATGAACGTGGCTATAGTTCACCAGGATCCCTGGGGCCCGGCGCCCATGGCCAAGATGCCAAGGCGTGTTTCTGGGCTTCACAAAAGCCCATGTTGCCCGTGTAGGCGATTTGCATGAAGCCGATCCTCCGTTGCACCGTGGCTTTCGTTAAAAGCCAACTGGCTGGAAAACCATGGATGGGATTTTCATGGATTTTTCATAATTATGGGAATAATATATGACTCTTGTTGCTGAAAAAAAATCTGCTCCAACAAGCAGAATATCACTCACCAAGAAATGGATAGGAATCAAAAAACATGTGACGTATTAGCCCACCAATGATGGACGATAACAATACTGGTTGGTGGTTTTAACCACTTGAAAAATATGAAAGCCAACGGGAAGGAATATCCCCTAGATAATGGACACAATAAAAAAATCATGTTCCAAACCACGAACCAGAATAATGTTGATGGGGATAATTGGAGAATATAATATTAATCATGTTGATTATGATAATCAAGTTAATCCTCAAAATAGTGGGGAGTATACTCCCATACAAGAATGAAAACCGACATGCTTGAACACTGCTCAGATGGAACAGCAGCGCCACGAGCAACATTAGTACCACACGTGCGAGATGGTGGTCACCTCATATATGGTGGAGGTTTTGACTGACCAGATTCAGGTGTAGTTTACAGTTATGACCCTTTACTATAGTTATAAGTACTAACAAAACACCATTTATAGAATGTATAATCCCAAAAGAATAAGCCGGTAAAACTAAGCAATGGCCACAACTGTAACATCTTTTCACATTTTAGCATCAGCATTGAGTAGTAGAAGCAGCACGGCCGAGGAACCATAGTCATTACACTTTATGGCTCTCAACGGTTCGAAATGGGATCACAACTCCTGCAACTAAGGGTATTCAGTATGCATATGTATATGTATCATTATGTATGTCAATGTATGTATATATACTATGAGGGGACATGGCGCAGAAGCTGTTTTGAATCAGTGAAAAGGGTCCACTTTCCGCGGCCGCAAGAAGCCATGCTAACCTCTTGCGCTCTGGCAGCGTGCCGCCTTTACAACGCTTTTGTCAGGAAGCTGTTTTGCGTGCATCTTGGAAGGTGTGTGGCGTGCACTTGTTGCCGTGCATCCCGTCCGCGCGCTTTGGAATATATTATAGTATACGGCCAAAGCGCTAAAAGTGACGTAATCCCTTATTTACATTCGGGTTTGAGGGGCGTAATCGGGACGTACGGGCGTAATCGCAAATGGGAGGGGCGTGATCCTTTGTCTACATGCGGGTTTGAGGAGCAATAGTTTCGGGTAGCGTGGTCTCCTTGGAGTTTGCCCACATGGGGTTCTACACCCCTTGCCTGTTTTCGAGCCACATGCCTTCCCAATCTTCCCAAACATAATCCGTTGCAATTGGTTTCCTCACAGTTCGGTAGTGGAGAGTGCGTTTGGCTGTCAGTCGGCTTGTGCTCAAACGGCGCTGCCACCATGCCCGCTTTTGGGGCCGCATCCGCATATGAAAAATGCAGTCTTGATGGTGGGCTCTCAATATATATATGTATATATAAATAAATTACATATTTATATATGTATATACTGTATTTACATATAAACACAAATCACTTAAATAAAGTTATAAGATGTTAAAAGCTAGTTCGAACGGTCAAGGGCTATAACTTCGAGAACGTGAAGATCAACGGTTTTTGTGGCACTGCCATCAATCTAAGGTATTAGTGCGGCTGATCCACTATGGGTTGTGAAAGTTTTGTGATGGTCTGCAATGTACAGGACGGCCGCTTTATTTATCTGCTCAGATCTACTCACTCATCATGCGAGAACTCAAATGAATATGGTACTAAAACATACTAAATACTGAGGGGGCCGGGGATCATTAATCGGTGCAAGGGGAGCGCACTTAAATGCGTCGTATGATTTCTGAACAGGGATGAACTGCAATGTACAACTTTGGACGGTGCTTCAAAAACGCTGGTGAGTTATAATTTTTGGATCAAAATCCTGCCCCTGATTTTGACATCAAAATAGCAGGAAAACGGCAAGGTGGTGCCACCCACTTATGCTGGTTTATAAACCCATCTTATAATTTTCCTCAAATATCGATGCGAGATCAACTAATATGAAACTATACCAAGTAATCCCATCACCCTAATATTAAACAATATCAAACACCCCATAAATGGTCCATTGATATGGGCATTCCCAACAAAAAACAAAGGTGTCCTTCCTGGAAGGGATGAAATTATTCGACATCACCATTTTTCCTTATAACATCTTATAACGTCAATGTGGACGTTTGCCTGCGACGGGGCTCTGACTCGTGAGATCCAATATTCTGTGCATCAAAGTCAGGCACGAGCCAATGACCATCTCCACGCTCGCCCTCGGATGCACATCTTGGACGAGAAACGGGTGAAAGTGAAAAATCCCTTGTTGGGAAGTAAAACAAAATATGAGGGGGATTGGATGGGGGAAGGGATGATAGTTAGTTGAAAGGACATCTTGGGAAACCCAGCAACTATCGAGTTTCTGCAGGTCTTTGTTGTTTTCCCTTGAAGAGGTCCAGAAATTCTGGGTCTTCCCAGATGACTGGAACAATAAGACCATAGATATGAATGGACAAGCCTGGCTGCTGCCATGCGCAAATTACTGAGCCTTCTACTAGGTTACTAGGTGACAAGGTTTCTTGTGCCTGTGACCTTGAAACATCTCGACTGGGATTCTGATATATAGTTGAAGACTTGAGGTTGGGTCCATTTTGCGTACTACACAAGACGTTAATAACACTATCACCAAACAAGAACAATTCGGTATCAGCTTGTACTTGCATCCCCTGATAACCTTGAAGACAAGACAAGGGGATACAAATGATGCAATTCAGTTTCTAGTCTGAAATATACGGTAACTACTGGTATTTCATACTACCTCCAGGGCCTCGCGGTCTGGCCCGCCCTCCACATATTTAAATGTCGTTACCGTACTGCAAGAAACATTCCGGAGTCGGTCAGTCATCCTGCTTTGCTATGAATCCCATCCTCCATTCATATCAAACACCTGCACTGTATGGTCCCTACTCTGGACCATGTTTTCGGTCGTTTGGGGTGTATCTTATTTTTTTGGCGGGATGGGATTCAAGTTATACCAATTATATATGCTCATCATTTTCTGGTGGATTATAGTTATACCAGTTATACCCATCATTTTCTGGTGAGATTATTCCTTTCAGGGAGTTTTCGCCAATTTTCAGACCCTGCTAAAGAACCTGCCACGCAACATGATCAAGGAGCACATCGGATTATCCTCAGATCTCAAGATACGACAGTGCAGCCGGAGTTGTTTTTTTTTTACCAAAGTGGTACTCCACAGGTATGTTGGTTAGTTAAAATAAGCCCATACAAGTATAAGATTCGGAAAATATCACTAACATCATATCAACCCTACTCAACATCATGTTCCCCATAAGTTGTTTTACAAACACAAGTTGTCAGTTTTTTCATCACCCATTGATCCAACTGATGATCTTCACCAACATGCTACAGCGGCAGCACCTTGTGGGTGTTCCAGTGTTCCAACTTTTGCATCTGATGCCATCCGCAGAAGAATTTAACATACACATGTAAGAAAGATGGACATTTTGCACTAATGTACAATGTATTGAATTATATTACATACTAAAAAATCTTGAAATGTTGAAATGTATTCATTTATCACCTATTATATTCATATAATGTATGATGTGGTAAACCTGAAATAAACATGGACGTCTGATAATTCATGCATTCTTAGTGGATGATTCATGGATCATGCAATGAATTCATGTGGGCAACCCTGCCATACACCGTTGGGGGATGATTGGAAGCCCATCCATTTGTGGTGATTTAGGGATGGTTCATTATTAGGTTGCCCACTTTATATCCCATATGCTCCATGTATGGAATATTTACCAACATTTACCCCAAAAATGACCCACATGTAGTTAAATATTCCATACATGGAGCATCTGGGTATGAATAATTCACAGCAAACAGCAAACCATCGTTCCATCAATTGACATTCCGTAGATGCAATGAAGATAAATGAATCTTTTGATAATGCACACGCAAAGGATCGCATGTCTCTGTGTATGCGATAAACATGAACATATTGTCCACCAAAACAAAACGGATGGACGCACGGTGCAATAAGGGCCGTGGTCCAACCACAGACTTCTAGCGGCCTGCCATAGACATATACCTAGATGCTCAGTGTGCCCTCAAACATGCTTGAATATATATATACATTAACATATTATACACATCATATCATATATATATAATCATTCGGCTTACTCAACCATACTCAACCCATGTTTTGGGTAATTTCCAGGTGTAGATGTCTATGGAGTGGGGCTCTCCAGTTGTCAGTTTTCTTCTGTTCACCCATCCAACTGTATCCACCATAAGCCCAACAGTTAGGCGAGTTTTATGATTTATGTGAGCCAGCCAGCCTCCCAGAAATGTCATATACCCTCTGGTAAACTAACATAACTATGGAAAATCACCATTTTTAATGGGTAAATCCACTATAAATGACCATTTTCAATAGCTGTGTTAAATTACCAGAGGGTAAATCCCTTTTGTTGGTCACATGGCGATGCTTCCTTGTTTTCTACTTCTTAAAACACAATGTTTTCCAGAATGCGAGCAGCCGAATCATCAAGTACTTTGTCTCCCCTTCATAGTCTACCCATTGATCTACCCATTGATCTACCCATTGATCTTCATCGATCTTTAAGGATAAGGTGGTGCTCCGTCAAGCTATGAGGGAAGGATTTTTTTGGCACCAGTGCATCCTCCTGCATTTGGATGGAAAGTTCCAGGATATCCCAGACATATCACAGAGATCGATGGATAGATAATGATAGATTGATATGATATGATATGATATCATATGATATGATATGATATGACATGATATATATAATATGATATATCTATCCCCACCGTTGCTTTCTTATTACGATGTTTACCCTGGGATGCCCTCCATAGCGTTCCCAGCGTCTGCCACTTCCTGTGCGGCCAACAACATGTTGACGATCCATCGCAAGGGTCGCATGAAGGACACCAAAATGGCGCCGTAGATCCTGGGATCGGTGTCGAACACTGCCCGAACATGGTCAACGTGTTGTTAATTGCCTAAAAGACACCTCAACTGGTTGGTGGTTTCAACCCCTCTGAAAAATATTAGTCAGTTGGGATGATTATTCCCAATATATGGAAAAAAAACGTGTTTGAAACCACCAACCAGTGGTAGTCAAGTGGCATCAAGTTCTCACAGTTATGGCCATTTATTAGTCACAACTGTCTATTTCTATGGGATTATATATACATTCTATAAATGGGGAGACTTGTTAGTACTTATAACTGGAATTTCGGGCCATAGCGGCATTGGCCGATTTTGGCTATGTTTTAGGGCTATGTAAGGAGAATTAAGGGGATATACCCCCAAGTTCTATGGCTTTATATGGTACAGCACCTCCATTTTAGGATCCTGGAATTCCCACTGACGAATTGTGACCAAAAACATGGGATTTGATGAGAATAAACCCTTGGGAAAATGGATGGATGAAAATGATGGTTTAGCGGGACTTCATGGGATATATAGGTTGTATTTGAATTTCTTGCCATCGTTTCGTAGGGGTTTCACCACAAAAAATAATTGGCATATCTGTTGATAACTGATGTTTCATTGTATACTATTCCTGGCTGGTGGTTTCAACCCCTCTGAAAAATATGACTTCGTCAGTTGGGATGATGACATTCCCAACTGTTTCTGGAAAGTCATAAAATCCACGGTTCCAAACCACCAACCAGCTATTCTGTATACATTGGGGATTTATATTGGTTTTGATGAAGTAACCATCATTTGTGCTTTGTGGTTGGGATACAACGCAGCCAACGCAGCTGTGGGGGACATGGGTCTACCCTTCGGTGTTATCAAAGGTACAGTGGAAAATCCCCAAAAGGATGTTATAATGGGGAAATTATCCATATGATATGGGAATTCCAGGATCCTAAAATGGAGGTACTGTACCATATATATATATATATATATATAAGGCCATATTTTGTGGTGATATGGTAGGTATCTCCATTTTATATAGGATCCTGAAATTCGGATTGAATAATATGGGGGATTTCCATTGCTATGTTTGATTGCGGACATATTCAGTTGGAAGTGCCAGATCCCAGATTGACTCTTGTGGAAAAACTCTGAAAGCCTCAAAAGCTCCGTTGCCCAAGGTACTCCAAGGACCGCATCGGTGGCCATGCTTTGTGCTGTGAAGCATTGCATGAGACCAGCTGCAAGTTCCAGATTGTCGGCACGATTTCCAGTTGCACAAATTGTGGCTGAGGCCAAAACAGCTGGAAAATGTCCTCCCACCCTGCGTGCATATCCTCCTGAACATCAAGGCACTTTCGAAAAGCAAGCCATTCCGTCATGTTACTTTGTTGGGGCAACTGGAAATCGATGTTTTGGCCATGTGTCTTCCCACCCTGCCATTTTCTTCAGGATGTATTCGACCCTGAACTGCCGCAATGGCATCTCTGCCCTCGAACTGAGCGGCACTGGCCCTACCTCCATCTTTGCCCAGGGCTTCAGATAGCACACACCGTCATACAAACACTCAACGGTGACGCGCGATACATGGTGGTTAATCCTACTTCGCCGGTTTTAACATGTTTTAACCCTGACTATTTCCGTGGTTTAAGGTCAGTCCGCATTAAAGGTGGGGTTCTATGTAATCCATTTACTAGGTGGGATTGACCATCAGGCCAAGATAATTTCAAACATATTCCATTCCTAGGGAAAAGCAATGGGAAAATTAACCTTCATCGTCAGCAAATATAGGGTTTAGGATCCCATGAATCCCATTTGTTAAACACCAAGTCTTAGTGTTGGTTCTTGAAGTCGTTGGTTGTATACATCCAATGTTATTTTTGTCTTCGGTTGTTGACTATGTAGCAAGTTGTCATATTACATTCATTTACATTCCATCAGCCAGTCTTAGTGTATCTCCACTGTCATGGCCCTTTACGAGTTATAAGTACTAACAAAACCCCATTTATAGAATGTATAATCCCATAGAAATAACCAATTATAACTAATAATAAATGACCATAACTGCAAAATTTGGGCCAGTTGACTTTGCTGAAGTTCTCTGCCATCCAAAAAGGCACGTAGCAACCAGCGGGAAAAACAAATTGACTCCAGGTCAAGTTGAAAATGCCATATCTTGCGTCTGGGATTGCAATTAGGGCTAATTAGAAAAAAAAAACAAGAACTTCTTGTTGCGAACAAAAAGAAAAAGAAAAAAAAACAAAACTTCATGTCTTGGAGAAATTCTTGGGCGTTCATGAAAAAATGAAGTGGTCCTGTTCGCCGCTGTTCTTCGCAGTTATCACCAGCTTTGTAACCCACTAGGAACTTTCGAAGTCAAAAAGTTAAACATTGGGGAACATGAGGATTGAAATCACTTGTTTTTTGCATCAAACATCAACGTGTTCTATTGCACGAACATGGTCAAATTGTTGTTAATTGCCTAAAAGACACCTCAATATTGATAGTCAATTGGCATCAAGTTCTCACAGTTATGGCCATTTATTAGTGTGAACTGGTTATAAATGGGATTATACATTCTATAAATGGGGTGACTTGTTAGTACTTATAACTGGTATAACTCGGGCCATAACGGCAGTTAAACGACACAACTCTCCGCATCCAAGCATCAAAGAACCCAAATGCTTGGTCACGGCGGCACACCATGCCTGCGGCCCAGGTTTGACAAAGGAGCCTTAACCTTACTGGGCTGCTCCCTTACATAACTTTGATATACGACAGCCCTGAACTTTACACGGAAAACTCCAATTTGATGAAGGTAAATGATTCTCCAAATTGGATATGGTCATAAATATGGTTCGTTCAGGATAAAACTGGAGGGACCAGAACATGGCTGGTTAAATGATTGGTGCTATATGATACTATACTGGTTGGTGGTCTCAATCCCTCTGAAAAATATGAGTTCGTCAGTTGGGATGATGACATTCCCAATATATGGGAAAAATGTTCCAAACGACCAACCAGTTATATATCTATATCTGTTGGATCCAAATCTATTTCGCTTGGAAGGATGCATGAATCCACCTGGTTTTTTCGACCTATTTGCCAGAGAGGATCATCTTGACAGTCTCTCCGTTTCGCTGGGTGGTTGAAATCGTCTATTCAAAAGCACGGACAATGAACATCAATGAACAATATATTAACATATATGTATATGATTACATGGTTGTACATATATACAATAGAGAGAGAAGGAGAGAGAAACACAAAACAGAGATATTGTTCAATCCGCACAAGAAGTCAGCAATGAGTAGTACAATGTATTGAAGGAATCCCCAAGCAATCCACCATCAACCATCATCAAGCAATAAACTGTTCATATCTGGTTGGTGGTTTCAACCCCTCTGAAAAATATTAGTCAAATGGGAGTATTATTCCCAATATATGGAAACATAAAAATGTTCCAAACCACGAACCAGAATAAACTGTTCATATATTAATTAATGCATGATTGTGTGTCAAAGCCATCCAAACCCCAACGCGGCCTTAACAATCGAATTGTATAGCTAGTCAAACAGCCTCTATATAATCCTATCCCCTTTTTTAAAAAATAAGCCCAAACGAAGCCCTGAGGGTAAATGTATTGGATCATTTCTTCCAGTCACCCAGTCCTGGAAGATATCAATATGACATTAGTCCGATCTCTTTCCCACGATATATGTCCACTAGATACCAATGTATAGTCCTGAAGTAGACAGAACATGGAATCTTCAATCCTCACCAAATTGGGATGACTGAAAATGCCATATTAATCCATATAGTACCCCTTGGGCCTTGAGGAAGTCTTACCCCTTAGACGGTCGGCCTTTAGGACCAGCGTTGGGCCACACATGGAGCAAAAGGATCCACGCACGCCTGACAAAGCCATGGGATGTCACGGGATTGTATATGGGACTATGATAATTACCATAACCCTAGTTGTGTTTTTTTTTGTTCGGTTCTACACCGGAAACCAATCATGCTTTGGGGTTTAAGACGCCGCTTAGACAATTTCAGTTAGATAATGTCCCATTGATTTCAGTGAATCTCTGATTTCCTAACTTATGATCTTAAATTATTTACATTCATCAAAAAAATGTGACTTGAAGCCCAATGGGAATATCAACTGAACAATGGTTGCATAAGGTCCAAGGTGACATGCAATGGGAATATTATAATAGGATAGCTAATACTGGTTGGTGGTTTTAACCATCTTGAAAAATATGAAAGTCAAATGGGATGATTGGTCCCAATATATGGGAAACAATATAAAATGTTCCAAACCACCAACCAGAATATAATACAAGAAACCATTTTTTCGGCGATATGGAAATCATGGCGAGGCTTCCATGGTTTCGTTGTTTGTTTTTTTTTTTTTCCGGGAACATCCCATGCATCGGCGTAAGTGGTTGATCACCTGTGTCAAAACCTAGAACTGGTGATATTCCATAATACCCTCTCTGGTTGGTCGTTTCAACTCTGAAAAATATTAGTCAGTTGGGATGATTATTCCCAATATATGGAAAAATAAAATTCATGTGCCAAACCACCAACCAGCTCTGGTGTCATTGGTTGAGAATTCCCTGATCAAAAGAGGGTACGCTGGGATCCAGGACGGGTATTGGAATCTTTGTCACCTTTGCTCCAGTTGAAGTTTTTTTTGTTCCCAAAATACATTGGTTTCCCACAGATTTCCTCTTGTACTTGATGATGTATCATCCCCCATTTTCGAATCAATATCCCTTTGCCACATGGATTAATATCCCTCGTCTCATCAATTCCAGAACTTTCGGGATTCACAAATCTGGGTAAATTATAATTTCACTAACCTGAATCTTGCGGCCTTTCACCTTGAGAAAGAAGCCATCACCCGATTTTTTTTAGGCCATTTGGGATGATTTCCCTTATTAACCATGATTCCAGTGAGGTCGTTATAATTTACGCAGACAAATTGATACGATATGCAGGATACATTTCGTCCCAGGACGAATTTTCCATTGCCCCCGGCTGCCAGACTGCCGTCTTTTTCGGCAGAAACTGCCGTCTATGTGGGGCCCCACTTGGTGATCTCTAATCGACACAGCAGGGATGAGAAGGTAAGATTGGCCAAGTTAATTATCCGCTATACTGGATGATCTAATTGATAATATATAATATTAACAAACTATGCAGCTGAACTCTAGTTGTCTATCATAACATTTAACTATGGTTGAACTATAGTTATCATATATTAACTATAATTAAAGATAACAATATCAATTATATATATCAATGTCATCAAAGGTGGCTGGCATAGGCAGCTTTGACTGCTGGCCACCACCTTGTCTTCAGTGGTTGGGTTCCCAAGATTCGACGAGAACATCTCAGCCAATCTGGAACCTGGAAAAAACCCAGCAAATCCTACATTTTGATCATTTGTCCCAAAAACACAATTAGAGTAATTAAACGCATCATTCTTTCATGGTTTTGGGGGGACCCTGGATCTTTGGGAGCCACACGTGTGGCTAGGCTTTTTAAGTTTTCTGATCCATTTCCAGGCTTTTCCTAATCATCGGAGCACTGTGGCACTGGAAATCCTGGGAAATCCTTCAGGGGTCTGAAGATGTTGTTTCAAGTGGTTTCTGTTCACCCATCCTGTAGATATATCAACCATAGACCCAACATGACCCAACACGACGCGCCTAGTCATATACAAACTTGCGGGCTCGCGATGCCTACATCTATCATTGTTTTGTACGCATTGAAAAAAAAAATGGTGATGTCCCGCCACCATTTCCAGACGGTGCACTGTGGTTTTTCTTCACCCCTGCCTTCGCCGTAGTGCTTGAAGAACCAAACCTCTGAAACCTGGAAAAGCGCGAACTGCGGGGTCCGGGTGAAGCGTTTCCTTCAAGCAAGGGCATCACCATCCTGGAAAAAAACAACACATATGTATATATATATATATATTTATAAATACATATATATATATACATATGTGTGTGTGTTACATAAATATTTTATATAACTGCAAGTTAGATGGGGTCATTATCAATGGGACACCACTCCGCCCGGAAGAATCCTGAAGTTTGGTCAGTTGGGAAGCAGCAAGTTGGTACAGTAGTAGCTGGACAGTATCATGGGATGTAAAGCGCAATCAGCAATATGAGATATACCAGTGTCATCAAAGATGGCAATTGAACATGGAGGTGAAGTTCCATGATTTGCACCAAAAAAACATGGTTATATTGTTCACAGCTACCATTTTTACATGGTTTTCCCATGCTTTTCCCATGGTTTACCTGGAACATGCTGAAATGGATGGCTTTCTATTGGGCAAACATCGTTCCCCGGAAAACCTCGAGGGTTTTTGCCCACGACAATCGCCAACTTCAGGGATCTGGTTGGTGGTTGACCTACCCCTCCGAAAAATGATGGATTGAAAGTCAGTTGGGATGATGAAATTCCCAACTGAATGGAACAATGAAATTCACGTTCCAAACCACCAACCAGATATGTACTCTTATTAGATAACAGTGTTTGTATTCTCAAATTATAGTGCGCATATGAACTATTCTGTGTGGTGGTTACAATCTCATATTCAGTTCATATTATATTTTCAATTGAGCACGGAACTTGTACTCGCCAAAACGATTGAAACTATGACTATTGCGGCGACTGGTTTTGCCACATGCACTTGAGCATGAGCCCATGAACATGTTTTCCTCTCAAGTCTTTCAACAGACGTGCGAAAAAATACGTCTTGGCAAATAGTCAAACCATGGATAGCTTTCCGTGATATGTTCTTTTCATGAGATCATGTTGACGGTGCTGGTTAATTTTCCAGTTGTCCATTAACGTACCTCCTCACGTGCAACACCACTGCCAAATGACATAGATCACTACGAAGACCGAGGTGTAGTGAAGAATTTCCATGGTCCACAGACAGGCCTCGTTAGAGGGTGGGGATCTGCACAGGTCTGGTTTCAAGTCCTCAATGTCTTGTGACTAACAATCCGGCTGAAAAAAACCGGGTGATACCACATCATGCAACGTCTATGGATTGTTAGGACCAGGTTCATCCTTCATAAATATCTAAAAAAAATATGTCAAATATCATAAGCACATCAAGTTTCTAGACCCAGAATAGTACCAATCTGGAAAATTGTTTGTTTTTGTTTGACGATTTCTTCGCTACACATCCAGGGATCTCCGGGAAATTCCACGGATTTGAGAAAAAAACATGGAGGTTTCAAGGCAGAGATGAGATGAATGAACCATGGATGTAAATATAACTCTTCGACATATAAAACATATGATTTGTTGTCTATTTTGTTTCACATATCCCAATTGGACATACCCCAGAAACATGGGTTTAATATGGGTTATATATGGTTACAGTAATATTCCCCAATAATGGTTGATTTATGTGGGTAATGCCCTTTTGGGGTATGTGAACAATATCTATTACCCAACAAGAATAAGATTAACAAGGTTGCGATAAACCCCAAACCAAGTCTGCATTGAGTCTGGATGACTCTACTCTAAGGCTGTGCAGAATGAATTGCATACACCATAAGACTTCCATGGTACCTTTTATAACTATCCTTGTTCTTGTTGCTTCATTATCTGTAAAGTATCATGAAAAACCTCAAGTTTGGTAGTGATACATTAATCCATTCAATTCCATTCAGCATAAAAAACTACCACATTTACCCAGCAAAAAACCCATGGCCTTTCATAAAATCATGGAGATTATGGCCACACGCCTGGCGAACAAATTCGGATCCTCTGGGGGCCAAGAAGCAAAGGCCCAATACGCAGCGCACACAACGGCAAAGTTCTGGGCGCAAACACGGCGTGGAGCGATTGACTCAGGTTCAGCCAATACCAAATATCACTTACCCTCTGGTAAACAAACATAGCTATTGAAAATTGCCATTTATAGTGGATGTACCCATTGAAAATTGTGATTTTCCATGGTTATGTTAGTTTACCAGAGGGTAAGGGAAAATACATACCAAACATATCTACTTAAGGGACAATGGGCGTTTGCAACGACGTAAATCGGAAGCTGTTGTTTCAATCTTGAATATTGAAACCAGTGTCAGACAGAAGTTTGAAAGTCATTGTGGTCAATTGCAATCCGTTTTGGGGCCGTAAGCCTTCCAAGTTTCCGTCTTTTGATTTACTGTAACATACTCCAACGTTTGTCTAAAAGGAATAAATACCCACAAACTCTAGTTCACCATAGTTCACATACATAATCCCATGCCCCTAAAATATTGACTGTCTCCCATATGGGCTCTCAATTCAAGAATGATACAAGACACAACCACCATTTTTCGATTTCTAGGGTTATATTTCATGCAGTACGATTGGGGGGAATGGATCATTCCTATCATTCAACCTGCAAAGTTCGTTCGTTTTTTGAATGGTTTCGCATGGTTTCGCATAGAAAGTTCACCCAGTGACAGAAGGATTTGGGGCAACAGCAGGCGATTCCCATGATGTTCCCAGTCCTGTCAGAAGGTAAACCATTGACCCGTTAACATCTATCATTAACCATGTTTGTTGGTCTATAAACCATTAACCATGTTTGTTGGTCTATGATCTACATTAACATCCATTAACATCCATTAACCAGTTCGATTTATCGACCATAAATCATGCTGCTAGGTTTAATCTCACTCAACGCTGTAATCACCATCAACCCGATAGTTGCAAAGTTGGTTCATTACCAATTTGGTTAAATAGTGACCATAAAAGCCATCAACTACACTTAAAATCACCACACACATAGTGAAGTCATAAACCCTACTTCATTCAATAGTTATCGCAGTACTTATACTTACAAGTTGGTTTATAAACCCGATTCACATCCAATATAGTTATAATATGTTATAATCACCAAGAATCCAACAGTTCATCGAGTTCGACTATACTATAGTTGTAATCCCCACTAACAACATAGTTATTCACAATATAGTTATGTATATATATAACTACTAGTTATCCCAATAGTTATCCCAACACTTATAATCACCATAAGCATCCATCGACATCAACCCTACCTCAATAGTTCACTGAAAATTCGATAAATTGGCAAAACAAAATCCCATCAATATCAAAGAGTTCTAGAATGTCCCACTATAACAACTATACCATTATACCATTCCATGGTGTTTATTCCCACTATATCAACTAGACTTAGAATCACCATAAACACAACAGTCCCACCACCTCGGCGCCATGGAAAACCACGGCCAAGCCACATCTGGATGGATCAAAGTCTCTGGCTTCGTGAGATCCACCTCGTGATTTTCTTCGGAGTCAAGCAACAAAACATCCAGAAAAAACACGTTTCAAATCACATTCGCGCCAGTTTAGGCAAACATTTTTTATGGGCGATTGAAGCAACAAATTGGAATGTCACAGAGGATTTCAAGAGGTTGAATCCACTGTATCAACCACTTCCCCTGCGATGAACCACCTGCTTGAAATCCTGGTTGTGTTTATATCTATAGTTTTCACATGGTTTAACTATTGAAGTGAACTCAAACTTAATCCCATCTTTCGCCTTTGAGATCAGGGAAATTCATTAAACAAAAATCCCATAGCTAGTTACTAGTTCTAACTTAAGTGAAGTGAACACCTTAAATCATCCCATTCACCAACCAACATCCAACCAGCAGCCACCGCCACGGCACGTTTTGATAGTTCCCGGAGGTGATCAAAACCATCAAACCAGCAGCGCCCACCAGGAAGAACGGGATCTTCAGCAGGAAGGACACCCTGAACGGCTGCCCAAAAAAAAACAAAAACTCCGGTGAAGCTGGAAAATTCGATGAAAAATGATGAAAATAGTTATGACAATGTCTGGACTCCAAAGATTGAAGAGTATTTAGGGCATGACGAACATCATGGTCAACTGTGGTTTTTTGTTTCAGTTTTTTGGCATCTTTGTGGAGGTTGCTATAGTACAGTGCTACTAAAGAATATATATATATACCCTATGGATCCAAACACTGTCTGAGAAGGTACTTAACCACCTAAATCATAACCCAAGCAATTCTGAAGAAGTTTTTTACTTGGATCCATAGGGGTATACAGGGATATATATATATATATACATGTACATATACATTACTAAATATTTTACGAATATTAAGGACCTCCTTTTTTTAATTTAGGAATATTAAGGACCGGACATTGGGCTGAGCGGACGGACGGCAGGAAAAACCTCTTTAAGAGGGAAAAAAACCTGCCAGTGGTGATACTCTCCTTTAGGGAGCAAACCTTGACAAACATTATCCAAGGGGTAAGGAATCACTTGACGTGGGAAAAGGAACCTGCACACCCCCCCGCCAGGCGTGCAGAGACCTCGCCACAAGAAGCAAACAGCAAAGAAACTTACCCCAAGGTCAAGGGAAACAACACTGCTACCGCTACTCACTGCGAAGCAACAGCAGCAGGCGCAGCCACGAAGCATCAGCGCAGAACACACCGGCAGTGCGACTGCTCCACTGCACCACTGCACAGCTGCCGCGAGAAGGGATGCGTCGTCAAAAGGCACAACAAACCGTACGCGTAGGGAACCTTAGACACACGTGGCCATAAAGGCTGCCCCGACCTCAGTGAAGGAAGGGGCTGAAAGGCTCCACCGCTGCCTCTGTTTGAGACAAGCTCCGTGGAAGCCTCGCTTTCTGAAGGATTTCTTTTGCTGCTCCCAGTCTGGCGACATTCATCCCAAATGTGGTCGCGGCGGACGTAGCCTCTGAGTGTCCGTCCACGCCACTGGCGACGCCATTCCATCGCACAATTCCTGCGCCTTGGAGCAACACTGGGATCTGAAAACAGCGTTCAGACGCCAGGTCAACTAAGACGCTTCTAGCCCATTTCTCTCTCTGCTCGAACCGATCTGTCACTGGGAGCCTGTTCAGGAGGCGGCGTAGTAGGTGGGATGAGTACGCCCCTGCTAGATCAGCCACACGGTCTGAGCAGCGCGTGTCAGACTTGAGTGCGCATAATTGAAGATCGATGTTCATGAAGAGTTCCTCAAACGGGAAGGCCGTCGATCGTTCCTTTCCTTTCTGGATCTCGGCCTCAATCTTGGACTTCAGCATGATAATGTCTCCCGCCAGTGTCTTGAGAGCAACCCTCTGGTCTCCACCTCTGTCTGCCCATTTCTTCTCCTCATCTCCATCCAGATATCGGTCCATGGCAGCAGTGATCTCAAAGACGATCGATTCCAAGGCATCATTACTGCTTCCTGAGAGACTATTGCAGGCCTTCAGCATTTTCCTCAAAGACTCGTCTCCCATGTCTTGTTCATACCACTGTTTCATCTTGTTGTCGTGCTCCACTTGCAAAGTTGCTGTGATGGTTTCCTCAACTTCTTGGACTTTTTGCACAAAGAATTGTCTCATCCTGGCATCTGGCACCGGATCGGACCTTGATTCCAGTGTGTACTGCACTATTGAGTCCCCAGCTATTAAGGACCTCCTTTTTCTATATCCCTCACTCCAGAAAGGAACACTGTTTCCATATGAGCCGCGCCAAAAACCTATCTCCTTTGCCATGTCGCTTGGATATGCTTACGCTGGGGCTTGCGCACTGCTTGCGCGCACACAGTGTTATCTTACGCGAGAACAATGAGAAAAAACTAGCTTACGCGGAGCTTACGCACTGGGAAATCTCGAAAAAATGATGCCTCACCACAGGTTTTGCTTACGCCACTGCTTGTTTTCACCGTCAAATATGTTTGCAGCATCAGCGTTGTGAGGATGAAGAAGAGCTAGAGGTCGAAGAAGAGGAAGAAGAGCTACGCGACAGAGGGGCAATGTGCTTCGAAAATTTCAAAAACAGTTCCAACGACGCGGTTTCTTTGGCGCCATTGCAGGTCCGAAAAGGCTTTTGTTTGCGCGGGCATGTGGGCTACTACTCAAAAAGTCAAGTTCAGCTTACGCGCTGCTTACGCGAAGCTTACGCGGAATGTGGCCATAGTGTTGGGGAATTATAACCAAAAAAATAGAACAATTAAGAAAACACACAAGTAAACCATAGTTGAGGGGCAATCTCTTACTTTGATTTGCACATGCCACACATGTGCTTACGCACAGTGCTTACGCAGCACATTCTTGACAAAAACCCTTACGCCACCTTGCGCCAACCAGGGTTTTGCTTACGCCAGATGCTCATATGACAAGGCCCTAATTAAAACAATTCAAAACGTTTTTTGGGGTCGCTCATATGAATTACATATGAAATGGAACCGCATTGAAGGACCGGACAACCCCACAAGTCAACTTCTTCCAATAATCAGAAAGACTGGTTGAGGCGGCACGGAGAAAGAAGAAAGGACAAAGGAGATGGTGGAGGGTCAATCATTTTTAAAGTTGTATGTGAAGAGTTCTGTGTGTGACAAAGTTGTGTGTGAAAGAGTTGTGCGTGAAAGGTTGTGAGTGAAAGAGTTGTGTGTGAAAGATTGTGAGTGAAAGGGTTGTGTGTGAACTTGTGTGTGAAAGAGTTGTGTATGACAAAGTTGTGTGTGACAAAGTTGTGTGTGAAAGATTGTGACAAATTTGTGTGTGAAAGATTGCGTGTAACAAAGTTGTGTGTGAAAGATTGTCTGTGACAAAGTTGTATAAAGATGTGTGTGAAAGAGTTGCGTGTGTGTGACAAAATTGTGTGTGACAAAGTTGTCTGTGACAAAACTGTGTGTGAAAGAGTTGTGTGTGACAAAGTTGTGTGTGACAAAGTTGTCTGTGACAAAGTTGTTTGTGACAAAGCTGTGTGTGTGTGTGAAAGAGTTGTGTGTGACAAAGTTTCGTGTGTGACAAAGATGTGTGTGTGAGAGAAAAGTTGCATGTGAGAGAGATGTGTGTGAAAGATTGTGTGCGACAAAGTTGTGGATGACAAAGTTGTGTGTGAGAGAGATGTGTGTGACAAAGTTGTGTGCGAAAGAGTTGTGGGTGACAAAGTTGTGTGCGATAAAGTTTTATGCGTGAGAGATAGAGAGAGATGCGAAAGATTGTGCGTGACAAAGTTATGTGTGTGTGTGACAAAGTCGTATTTGAGAGAGATGGACTCACTTGCAGCGTGGATGTCAACAAGTGCCACGCCTGCCACGCGAAGTGACGGTTGATGTCGCCAAGTGCCACGCCTGCCACGCAAACAGCCGCGGCGACAACGGCGTCCACTGGGAAACAAGCGCGCCACCAGAGCCAGTGCCGTAAGTGCCACCCGTGCCACGCAGAATGCGCGTCGATGTCGCCAAGTGCCACGCCTGCCACGCAGAGTGGAGGTCGATGTCGCCAAGTGCCGCACCTGCCACGCAAACAGCCGCGGCGACAACGGCGTCCACTGGGAACCAAGCGTGCCACCAGAGCCAGCCCAGTGCCGTAAGTGCCACACCTGCCACGCAGGATGCACGTTGCTGTCGCGAAGTGCCACGCCTGCCACGCAAAGCGGAGGTCAATGTCGCCAAGTCCCACGCCTGCCATGCAAACAGCCGCGACGACAACGGCGTCCACTGGGAACCAAGCGCGCCACCAGAGCCAGCCCAGTGCCGTAAGTGCCACGCCTGCCACGCAGAATGCACGTCGATGTCGCCAAGTGCCACGCCTGCCAGGCAGGCACCTTTCACGGAAAGTGAAGGTCGATGTAAGTTGTGTGTGTGTGAGGACGTCGTGTGTGGACAAGTCGTGTGTGAGGAAGTTGTGTATGAGTAAGTTGTGTGTGGGGAGTAAGTTGTGTGTGGACAAGTCGTTTGTGGACAAGTTTGTAAGTGGTGTGTGAGGATGTCGTGTGTGAGGAAGTGTGTGTGTGAGTAAATTGTGTGTGGGGAAGGTGTGTGTGTGTGTGTGTGTGGACAAGTTGTGTGTGGACAAGTTGTGTGTGGACAAGTTGTGTGTGGACAAGTTGTGTGTGAGGAAGTTGTGTGTGAGGAAGTTGTGTGTGAGGAAGTTGTGTGTGTGTGTGGACAAGTCGTTTGTGGACAAGTTATGTGTGAGGAAGTTGTGTGTGAGTAAGTTGTGTGTAAGTTGTGTGGGAGGACGTCGTGTGTGAGGAAGTTGTGTATGAGTAAGTTGTGTGTGGGAAGTAAGTTGTGTGTGGACAAGTCGTTTGTGGACAAGTTTGTAAGTTGTGTGTGAGGATGTCGTGTGTGAGGAAGTTGTGTGTGTGTGTGTGAGTAAATTGTGTGTGGGGAAGGTGTGTGTGTGTGGACAAGTTGTGTGTGGACAAGTTGTGTGTGGACAAGTTGTGTGTGAGCAAGTTGTGTGTGAGGGAGTTGTGTGTGAGCAAGTTGTGTGTGAGGAAGTTGTGTGTGTGTGGACAAGTCATTTGTGGACAAGTTATGTGTGAGGAAGTTGTGTGTGAGTAAGTTGTGTGTAAGTTGTGTGGGAGGACGTCGTGTGTGAGGAAGTTGGGTGTGAGTAAGTTGTGTGTGTGGGGAAGTTGTGTGTGGACAAGTTGTGTGTGGACAAGTTGTGTGTGAGTAAGTTGTGTGTGGACAAGTCGTTTGTGGACAAGTTGTGTGTGGACAAGTTGTGTGGGAGGAGGCAGCGGGAGGAGCGGCGGGAGGAGCAAGCGCGGGAGTGTCCAACTAAAAACAAGAACCCCACACAAAGATGTGGGGAAAAAACTGATACATTGATACTCAAATGTGCGTGCTGTTGTCCGTTTGTTCACCGACAAAAACTAAACATCATGTTTTCCCCAGCAAGTTCTATAAACATTTGTCCAACTTCGCAAAATTCTCTTCTTGGACCTGGCCCATCCCAGAAGTCATTGCCGCAAGGGCTGTAGTGATGAGGGGTGAATTTCACCCAGTCACTATGCATCTACTTACTGTACTAAACCCAGCAGCCTAGTAAATAAATAAAGGGTCCTACCTTCCAGATGAAGTAAAGACTTCAACGGCAAATATGTAAAAAAAATGCAAACAGGTCCTTGAAATCAACCACAAATCACATGTGCACATCTCCCATCATATCTAGATTCTTGCAACGATTCCATTAAAACCACCATTAATAACCACTATTCAATCGTGAATTTCGGAAAATCCCCATCTTCGATAGAGCCATGTCATAAACCACCCTATAAAACTTGATGTGCTTTCAATTCCATTATTTTTAATGGTCAAACTTGGGTCGAGCTTTGGTCCGTTGTCACAGCCTCCAAGATCCGCCGAGGTGCAAGGGTTCCAACATCAACGAGGGCATCGTCATCAAACAATCGGCCGCATCCTTCACGGCAGCCGCAGCGGCCATGCATTTGTTGCACTGGAAGCACGCCTGGGCGTAGAAAAACGGCCAGTTGGCCCCGCTGAACTTCGCCGGCCCCAAAAAAAGGGGATGCCTCCCTGGCCCTACTTTGCGAAGGTGTGAAGATGAATTGGTGGCTTCATGGATGTTCATTTCTATATATGACTATATAAATATGCAGGTACAAGTAGATGGGTTTATACATCAATACTCCCATCCCTCTGATATTAAACACCCCCTAAATGGTCCCAACTATCTGGAAATTCTCTAAACCGTGGTTTCCAGGGGGTGTTTATTAATAGTTAAATAAATATGAACGGGGGAAGGGATTAAACATAACTGGGGGTACCACCTTGGATGTGGCCTGACTCAGGCAAGGGACCCGTGTCCCTGAAATGCAGAAAGGCCTTCTGTCCAACCCCACGCCAAAACAGGGATCAAACGAAAGGACAATATAACGCATTCAACCTCAACCAAATTCCAATCCGAAAGGAGAACATTTCAAATATTTCAAGACGGACTATCTTACGAACCACCTTTATTCAAAGTCTCAAGTGATATCTCTGTTCCCCCAAGAAATTGCTCATGTCGCGTCATCGCGGCGACACGACAACGCTACACCCCGACTCCGGCTGCGTCCAGGGACACAAAGAAGCACGATGCAAGCGAGGCCAACGCCTGGGTATAGCCATGAACCGCCCATTTTGGGGTCAGTTGAGGTTACTCTTATGAGAATAACCATGGTTATCAACCCCATGTGTGTTGGGATATGGGCCCCTATAACTGTAGCTTTATATCCACTTGTATCTGGAACTGCACTTCCAAGCAGTGACAACGGATAGTAGGAAGATTGGTCAACAATTGGCTGTTTTAAAGTGTTTTAAATATTCTACCCTCTGGTAAACTGACAGTTTGCTATTGAAAATGGCCCAGTCGAAATAGTGGATTTACCCAGCTATAAAATGGTGGATCTTTCCATAATTTTTCGTATGTTTACCAAAGGGTAAATGATTCTCCCAGCTATAACCCTCCATTTATATCATATTATATCATATATTTATTTCCATTGAAAGAGGGTAACATTTAATTAAATGTCCTTAGGTCCTTATCAGAAGTTCGGAACATCCCCTGGGCAAATCCAAAGAGACTCTGCCCAAACGCCCACGACTTGCAAAAGGGATGATCTGGCAGGCCAGACAGAGAATGGTGATGAATAGTGGTTAGTTAATGGTAGCTAATCGTGATTAATGATGGATATAACTGGTTATTTTCTATGGGATGGATGATCACTGGCATATAATTCAGCTGCGTTCTACATGCAAGATTCACAGTTATGGCCCGAGTTATACCAGTTATAAGTACTAACAAGTCTCCACATTTACAGAATGTTTCTCATCCCATAGAAATAACCAGTTATAACCATCAATAATCACTATTAGCTACTATTAACCATTACTAACCACTATTCATCACCATTATATAACTGTAGATTATAATTATTAGCCACTAAGTGATTTTCCATACTTATGTAAACGCTTTTACCAGAGGGTATCCACCATAGACCCAACAGTCAGCGCAGTTATGAACTACAAACCATGCCTTGTTGGTCCAAAGCTGATGTTGCTAGCAAAATCCCTTACCAACTCGTATCATGTGGAGGCTGCAAAATATGCAAGAATCATCGCAGCACCCATGGGAGATGATGGTCATGGTGCTACTCAACGTGACCACTGCTGTCTTTCAAATTTAAAACTTTAGGGAGTGTACACTCAATGGAAAATCAAGCATTCATATCCATTTGATTACCTATATCCATTAACAATGGACAATTAAACATTGATGATTATTTTCAAAAAATGTCAATATACGAATATGTTCATCTTAAAATACCAATAATTACAGTACAGGATTAGTTATACCATTGAGATGATGGTAAGATTTATTTAACATCTATATTATCTGGCATTGTATACCATCTATTTACCATCTTATGTACAATTTTAATTGATTATGCCATCTTTATTATGGCACACTCTTATTCATCTAATGGTTACCATTGATTGATTATATTATCTTATTCATCTATAGATTATTCCATGTTGATTGATTATACTATCTTATTGAATTGATTATACTATCTTATCTCCATCTATTATTGTTGATTCCATGTTGATTATCCATAGTAACCTAATTATATTGATTATACCATCTTATTCACCATTGATTCGTTTTCCATCTCATCACTTCGGCCAGGTCAACCAGGTCAACCACACTGCTGACCAGCTGCTGACGGAACCCAAAATCATGTCACCCTGCGTGCCGCTGATGCCAAAGTGCACGTGTTCCTGGGATGGCTCGTGGTATCAGTCGGAAAGCAACTAGCTTAACTAGCCGGGTAGACATATCGAACTGTATAGTTCATGGATGTTTTTCTGGAAATAACTAGCTTAACAGCCGGGTAGATATATCGAACATGATCGTTTTTTTTTTCATGGGCTTTACTGGTTTACACACCAACTTACAACTAGAGGACACTACCTGGAGTAGGGAGGTTAACTCAATGGTGATCTTCCGTGCTCCGGGAACGAAGAAACTTCCACCCCTGAAACATCCAGATCCAACAGAAATTGGTCATTTATTAATAGTTATAATCGGTTGCAAATGGGATTATACGTTCTATAAACGGGGTTTTAAATACTTATAACTGGTAAAGGAACATAACTAAAATGACTAGTGCTCAAAACTCTGTCGCGTCCCCTACTGCTTTGTTGGTAGGGAGTGCCCGTTAGTCCCCAATGCAAATTGGATAGTAAAATCCCCCGAACTACCCTCTGGTCATTTAACATAGCTATAGAAAATCACAATTTTTAATAGGTAAACCATCTATTTCTATGGGCCATGGCTTCCATAGCAAACTGTTAGTTTACCAGAAACTAATCAGTAACCAACAGCGGTTTTACACCAACATCCAGGGACCCAAAATTTTTGTGCTCTTCGGAGGTTGATCACACCGGCGGCCTAATATTTAGCGAACATCGCAGTCGCAGGTTCAAGGGACGTGTGATGTCATTCATCCCATTTATAGAATGTATAATCAGCCAGTTATAGTGTATCTCCACAGTTTTGGCCCTTTACCACTTGTAAGTACTAACAAATCACCTCATTTATAGAATGTAAAATCTCATAGAAATAACCAGTTATAACTAATAACCATGGCCATAACTGTAGAATAGATTGAACATATCAAATATTTTGCCGCAAGATTTCCAGTAGATGGGCGTATGACATCCGAAACCCGGTTTCAACCGGGGCTCTGCCAGTCGCTCTCCGTATTCTGAAGCCGCAGAACCTGGCGGAACACCGCAGCGCCGTCAAACAAAAGATGCGGAAAAGGTGAAATACCTAGAAGTGAAAGGGGAGAATATCCACTTCTTAAGGGGAGAATATCAACATGGAAATTATTTGGATTAGAGACCTCATTATGACTGGCTGAGAAAATGTCAAAGTGATATTTTTGACCAACTAGTTGCAGTCATCCAACTGTACTGTATACAACTATACCATCCTGGATACACTTTTCTATCTGATTGATTCTTTCTGGTGGTTTCTTTATTCCAAAGCGCATTAATCCCTTCTCCCTAATACTATCACCCCCCGAAATAGTAAACACATCAGGTAGTTTTTATTATTCCCGAGAGCGTCTGAGCGCAGGGTTCTTCCAATAGTGGGGGTCTGTATCTCATCTTCTCATCTTCACACCTTCTCATCTTCACACCTTCTCATCTTCACACCTTCTCATCTTCACATCTTCTCTCACACCTTCTCATCTTCACATCTTCTCACACCTTCTCATCTTCACATCTTCTCATCTTCACATCTTCTCTCACATCTTCTCATTTTCACATCTGCTCATCCTCACATCTTCTCATCTTCACATCTTCTCATCTTCACACCTTCTCATCTTCACATCTGCTCCTCTTCACATCTGCTCCTCTTCACACCGTCGCTCACACCTTCTCTCACACCTTCTCATCTTCACACCTTCTCATCTTCACACCTTCTCTCACACCTTCTCATCTTCACATCTTCTCTCTCTCTCACTCTCTCTCCTCTTTCCTCTCTCCTTTCTCTCTCTCCTTTCTCTCTCTCCTTTCTCTCTCCCTTCTCTCTCTCTCGCCTTCTTTATCTTTCTCTCTTTAGGCCGAGGGTGGTGCCGGCGGGGAGTCACGAAACGTGAACCCTTTCGCACGAAATGAGGGTCGATCGGCGAAAACTGAGGTAAAATTGCGATTTTACTTGTCCTGCCATGGAGCAACCCTTTCGCACGAAATGAGGGTCGATCGGCGAAAACTGAAATAAAATTGCGATTTTACTTGTCCTGGAGCAACCCTTTCGCACGAAATGATGGTCGATCGGCGAAAACTGAGGTAAAATTGCGATTTTTACTTGTGCCGGAGCAACCCTTTCGCACGAAATTCGGCGAAAACTGATGTAAAATTGCGATTTTACTTGTGCCGGAGCAACCCTTTCGCACGAAATGATGGTCGATCGGCGAAAACTGAAATAAAATTGCGATTTTTACTTGTGCCGGAGCAACCCTTTCGCACGAAATGAGGGTCGATCGGCGAAAACTGATGTAAAATTGCGATTTTACTTGTGCCGGAGCAACCCTTTCACACGAAATGACCCTGGGCATCGTCTATTGATCCTAATCAATAGAAACCATAGGTTTTCTATTTGATTTTTTTTAAATCAATAGCTATTGATTTTTTCAATAGAGTGTGTTAAGCAGCTGTTATTGATTTACATGTGCATGGTTCCAATTGATTTCACTATTGATTTCACTATTGATTTCACTATTGATTCCACTGGCTACTTTTGGCCCAAGTTTTGCAGTTTTTTCATGTGTCTGACCTCTTGACAAAAGGGGATCGCCAAGGAAAACCTCTTGGCAAAAGGGGCTGTTATGTCTGGCAAAGGGGGAGCTAGACACACTAGCAAACCCCAGGTGGATTCAGGGTTGCTGTTTCGATGTCTGATTCAGCACAAGGACCTGGTTTGCAACTTGGGACCTTATGAGGCCATATCCAAAACACAAGCAGCTAATCCAAAGGGGCTGCTGAAGAACATACCCTTGATAAAAGGGTTGGTGCAATTGGAAAGCACAGGAGAAATCCATGCCAGTTGCATAAGGAATGCAGTATTCCAAATGGTTTTGGAAGACCCAAAATGCAATGATTCCAAATGGAGTGGAGGGGTGTGGACAAACATGAGAGCAGAGAGAATTGGGACCTTACTCTTCCATATCAGAAGGCTCAAGCTGGGGGATGGCCTAAGAAATTTTGCAAGCAAGTTAACTGCTATGGAGCTTTTGTCCATCCAAGAGGTTCTTGAACTCATGGACAGAAAGCTTGAAGTTGAGGAGCCTGCCTTACCCCTTGTCAAAAGGGAAAAGCAAAGAGAAGACTCACCCCTTGCTGAAAGGGATGCAGAGGCCAGTGGCAAACCTGCCAAGAAACTGAAAAAAGAAATTTCTGATGTTTCCCTTGATTCCATGGGTATGCCTAAATGTTTTGGAACACCTTCAGAAAAGGCAAGTCCCAGCCCCTTGGCAAAAGGGGTCAGCAGCCCCCAGGCTGAAGAAGAACCTTCCAGTAGCTCCTTGGCCAAAAAAATGCCTGAAAGAAATTCCTTGCCAAAAGGAAATACTTTGGCCAAAGAAATTGCAGAGCCTTCCTTTCTAAGGAGGAGGGAAGGCAGACTGGCAGCAGCAGCAGCCAGCAGTGCAGGAGAGAAAGCCAATCTGAAAAGTAAATTGGGCATGGTTGCAAAGATGAAAAGGCCAGCTGCTAAGCTTGCCAAAAAAGCAAGTGCCAAAAAAAAATCCTTGAAAAAAGGGCCTGTGACCACCCATGCAGGTGCTTCACCTGCAACCTTCCCAAGAAAAGTCTGGGCCAAACTCCAGGTCACCAGATCCAATAAAGAACCACGGAGAGCATATATTTGTGGGACCACAGCTGATGATGGCAAGCCACCCCTCCACTTGATTTTGGAGACCAGGCACAAAAACCATGCACAATATTTAGAAATTTTGCAGCACATCAAAGACAGGCTGGAGCAGGATCACTTGACAAAAGATGAAGCAGTGCAGCTGAGAAAGGAATGCTATGACACCTGGTGAATATCTCTTGACAAAAGGGATTGCAAATAGTTTCATGCTACATATGACCTCTTGACAAAAGGGGTTGCTTTTAAGCAAAAGAAGTACACAGATTCACCAGGCCTCTTGACAAAAGGGGCTGCATTTTCCCAAGGGTTGCCCAAACCTCTTGGCAAAAGGGGCTGCACAAAGTTTCACCATACCTCTTGACAAAAGAGGTTAGCCCAAAATCTCTTGACAAAAGGGATGAACATGACAGCTTAGGTGTGTGTCAAAAAAGTGCACCACTGTTGGCATGGGAAGGGTGGGCAGGTGTGTTGGCCCTTAAAGTCTGGTTTTGTTGTGGACCCCTAAAGGGTTAATGTTTTTTTCTAGTTGGTAGGTGTTGAACTCTTTTTTGGGTGGATGTTTTGGTAATGGTAGATACCACATGTCACACACACACATGCACATGTGCAACATGTGCACATGTGCACATATCACACCTCACTTCCCTGTGTCCATGGGTTGCACATGTGAGTGTGTCATGCATGATTGCAGCTTTTGGCACAAGCTACCTGAAAAGAGACCATTTCGCCAGGTCTCAATTCCTTGCCCAAAGGAATTTGTGCCTTCAAACTTGGAACTCTTGCCAAAAGGGTCCCATCTGAAACAAATCCTACTGTTGGATCCCTTGCCCAAAGGGACCCTTTCACCAAGCCCAAAGCCTTTAGGCCTGAACACCCCTTGTCCAAAGGGGATGGCTGATTGGAATAAATGGGATGGCCAATCCAAGTGGAGGAATAGCAAGAACAGGCCATCAGGAGTTGGCACAGTGAGCCATACCAGGAGGGAGAAGATGAGACAGAAGGCCCTGGCCAGAGAAGCAGCTGAAGCCCTTGCCAAAAGGGATCAAAACCAAGCTGCAGCAGATGCAGCAGCACCAGCTGCAGCAGATGCAGCACCAGCTGCAACACCAAGCAGCACAGAAAGCTCCCCCAGCAGCAGCAGCTCCAGCATGAGTGTGGATGCCAAGAGGGCAAAAACAGAGCCTGAGCAATCTCTTGACAAAAGGGATGAGAAAAAAGATGAGGAAAAAGATGAAAAAAAACAATGTGAAAAAAGAAGCAGCATCTCTTGACAAAAGGGATGAGAAGAAAACAAATGAGCAGAAAAAGGGCCCATCTCTTGGCAAAAGGGATGTGACAGATGAGCCACAAGGGTCTGGTGGGGCAAGTTCCTGGAGAACTCCACCAACCCCACCACCACCAAAGCCAAGACCCCTTGTCAAAAGGGCAGAGACCCTGGATCCAGTGCCAGAACCAGAGCCTGAAGGCACCTGGATCCTGAAGCAGAACAAGAACACCAGAGCCCTGGAGTTCACTAGTGTCAAGTACACTAGAGCCAGAACTGGGGCAACAGGAAAGGCTGCCTGGTGTGCCAAAAATAACATAGGTCATCTATTTGATGACAATGCTGACATTTGCAGGGAGGCCTTGTCAAAAGGCCTGACAGCCTGGCCCATCAGAGCTGGCAGAGAGAAGCATGGGTGGGCAGACAGGGCCTGGGACTCGCTGAGCTCTGCAGTGAACACCTTCCTCCATGAGGAGGCCCTGAACAGCTGAATCCTTGCCAAAAGGATTTGAAACATGCAAAGCCAAGGGGATCAAAAATCCTTGCCAAAAGGATTTGAAATCAGCAAAGCACCAGCAGCCAAATCCCTTGCCAAAAGGGACAAAATGCCACACCAATCTGCCAAATTCCTTGCCCAAAGGAATCAATTCATGCAGCCTGATCTCTTGCCAAAAGGGATTGTACAGTTTCAACAGTTAAGCCCATCAGCACAGGGGCTTGCTGTTTGGTTTTTTCCTTGTGCCATGCCACATGTGGATTTTGTTTGAAACATTCATGAAATAATTCAATTATTTAATGTCATTGTTTAACATCAACACTCATCAAAACTCTTCATCATATGTTTGTTTTTGCTGTTGTTCATGGTGTGGCATGGCACAAGTTGTGTTTAAAGCAGGCATGAACCTCTTGGCAAAAGGGGCACTGTCATGCCAACAGAACTCAAAACCTCTTGCCAAAAGGGGTCAGACCAAGATGTCTTGAAAAATATGGTAGCTGTGGGCATGGGATTGGGACTGGCTTACGCCCCAATGTTTTGTGGGAAATATATGGCATTTAGTTTTGTTTACACCCCAATC